AGCTAGGTCATGATAATGAGGTGGAATAAGTGAGAGATCAGTTTSTTCAGTCTTACTTGGAGATGGCAATGAGGATGGAACAGCAGATCTTAAACATAGGTTAGAACAGGACTCACTCCAGGAAATTACTCTCTTGAGAGACCAGTCAATGGTGGGATTATGTTTCTTAAGCCAAGGGAAACCGAGGATAATTTGAGGATTAGGAGATTGAAAAACAAAAAACTCACCATGTTCATGATGGTTGYCAGATAGAACGATATGGAGAGAAGGGACTTTATGAGTAATGGTTGAGAGGGTTAAACCGGTGAGCGCCGCCATTGACAAGGGTTGATTAAGTTCCTCCATCTGGATCTGCAGTTGTTCCACAAGGTTGTGACTAATGAGGCATTGTTCTGCTCCAGAATCCACTAAGGCCAGAACAGGGAGATGAATGTTATTAACACAAAGGGTAGCAGAGAAAGTTAGCCTATTGTCAGGAGAAACATTTGACGCACCCACCAGTATCCCCTGATTTACTGGTGGGACCGGCCTTTTAAACGTAAAGTACAATTGGCAATGAAGTGACCCTTCTTACCGCAATATAAACATTCCTTTGCGGAAAAACGGCGTTGTCGTTCCTCAGGGGTCAGTCGGGCCCTACCAATTTGCATGGGTTCGGATTCGGAACCAATGTTGCAGGTTTCCAGAGCGGCCGAAATGGTTACCGGAACCGGAAATGGTGAGACGGAAGTTGAACTGTGGGATTTGTAGTTTCTTTGATTCTTTCGTTCCCGCAGACGATTATCGATTCTGATAGCCAAATTGATTAAGTCGTTTAAATTGTCCGGTTCCTCTTTGGTTGCTAGTTGGTCTTTTACTGGATCACTAAGGGCGTTAGAGAAAATACCTCGAAGAGCGCGGTCATCCCACCCGGCTTCTCGAGCAGCTATCCGGAAGTGAATGGAGAATTCGGCCACGGATTGATCCCCTTGTCGCAGCACCATCAGTCTCTTGGAAGCTGTCTCGTGAAGGAGTGGGACCTCAAAAACATTCTGAAAATCATTGAGAAAAAATGAAAAAGAATAATTGTCTATTGACTGATCCTGGAAATAAGCATGAGTCCATCTCAGAGCATCACACTGGAGGGCGGAAAT